TTTACCACGTGGAGGTATGCGGTTGGATTTGAAACTCCTTTATTTATTTTGTTTTTTAAAATTTTTTTTATTTGTTCTTATATTGGATCCGCCATTTTCAAAACCGATATTACATTTTTAATCTACGACATCAATAAATCCCAAGTATTAACTTTTAAGTAAATCTGATAAATTTTTTAAAATGGCGCTAGCCATATGCAAAGCGCTACATTGTATTTTAAAAATGTCATGCTAGTTTCGGAATCAGCGACCCCGAAAACCGCTTAATAACGAGTTTTAAATAAATCGGACGAGTTTTTCAAAACTTCGTCCGCTATATTGGATCCGCCATTTTGAATTTTTAAAATCTGAAACCGGATTCGTAATCAGCGACCCTGATAAACCCCAAGTAAAAAGTTTTAAGTGAATCCGATGAATTTTAGAAAATGTCGTCCGTTATATTGGATCCGCCATTTTGAATTTTCAAAATCTGATATCAGATTTGTAATAAGCGACCCCGAAAACCCCTAAGTAACAAGTTTCAAGTGAATCCGATGATTTTTTTTAAATGTCCGCCATATTGGATCCGACATTTTGAATTTTCAAAATCTGATTTTGGATTCGTAATCAGCGACGCCAAAAACCCCTGAGTAACAAGTTTTAAGTGAATCCGATGGATTTTTAAAAATGTTGACCGCCATTTTGAATTTTTAAAATCTGAAAACGGATTCGAAATCAGCGACCACAAAAACCCCTGAGTATCAATTTGTGGACAAATCTGTGTTTTTGTAGCCAAAAATCTGCTTGCGTCTATACACGTCATCTACAGTTTGAGCCCACCTGCACCATGACGTGTATCACGTCATCGACTGCCAAGGGGTTAAGGCAAAACTTTAAAAGGCTTAGGTACAATAGTAGGTTATTTAAATTTAAATAAGACTTATTACTAGAGGTGTGCAAAAAGCTCGAAAAGCCGAGCCGCGCCGCAATTTTTTCGAGTCGAGCCTGAGCCGGGCTCGATGTATCGGGTACCCGAAATTTTCGAGTACCCGAAACATTCGGGTACCCGAATTCACTCGAGTACTCGAATATTTCGGGTACTCGAATGAATTCGGGTAACCGAAATGTTCGAGTACTCGATTTAATTCGAGCTTTTAAATTAAAAATTTTTTTTTTTATTGAAAAAAAAAAATTTAATTAAAAATTAATGTAGAAAATTTTGGATTTTCTCAAGGGCTCGAATCAAATCGAGTACTCGAAAATTTCGAGTACCCGAAAGTTTCGGGTACCCGAAAAATTCGAGTACCCGAAATTATTCGAGCTTTTTATAAAGCTCGGCTCGGCCCGAGCTCGAACTGAATAGGCTCGGCTCGGCTCGGCTCGAAAAATGAAAAGCTCGAAAATACCCGCTCGAGCTTCGGGTTTCGAGCTTTTTGCACACCTCTACTTATTACACAATAAAAATGTAATCTCATGTTTATAGGAAAAATCTACTTCTAATATCCTTTCAATTTTTCATTTTATAATAAAAGTATTTCCTTTGAATGTAAAATATTTTTATACAACTCTGGCGTATTATTGTCACTTTATCTACCTGTACAGGCGCGTACTCAGTTCCCCCTTATAACCCAGCAGTCAATAAAGTGACCCTTATAGCCCTAGGGAGATAAAATATTAAATATTACTATTTGTAGTTTATTTAATATTAATTACTACATATTATTCATAACTATTTTATGATATTATGCTAATAATTTACTGAATAGATAGAGGACACCAATGCTTTGGCCGCTTTCAATCTTATAACAGTAGAAAGCCGGAAGTTGGCCACCATTTAGGCCCGTTCTAAGTTTGTAGCGGGTAAATTCATAAGTAGAAAAATATGAGATTGTTTAATTTTAGTACTAAATAAAAATAATTTTCATGTGAAATCTCTACACAAGAGTAAAAAAATTATTTATAAATTATTTTTTAATAAGAATTTCTCGAAGCAAACAAAACTATTATTTTAAATCGTGGGTATAAAAAATTATTTGAAATAAAGAGAAATGTCCTCAATTATGTAACTAATAATACGAAAAATTTATTTAAAAAATTATACACAAATATATATATGTATATGCAAATCAAAATAAATTCAAAAGAATTGTTAATAAATTCGTAAAAACATTCATTTCTTATTTAAACGATGAGTTAACTTAAAGCTAATAGAGAAAAATAGATGTGTGTTTCATTGTAATATTCTAATAGAACATTTTAAATAAATATTTATAAAATACAGACCTAAATAGCACCTGTATGAATTTTACAAGAAATAAAAATTACACTAATAAAAATTGAAACACAATGAAAGAAATGACAAAGGTTTTATAATAAAAATAAAAGTTAAACGTGTAATATTCTGCTTAAATGAATACGGGATACATTTTTTAAAGTTGAAATAATGCTGACAAATGTTAAAATAAATGTTAATAAATATGTAACATTACCTTTTATGTAAACAAAATCTTAATATGCATTGACGAAATTTGACTTACCAAAATTATTTTTAACTAGCAAGCTTTACGCGCTACGCGCGCAAATCATATTTTTTATTTCACAATAAAAAACTTAGTATGATATGTGTTTAACCCATTAAAGACATGCTATTCACGTATCCGATATATTTTATTATGGAAAAATTTATCACGTTAAATAACATGACTTTAATTCTGATGTGAACATGAATCAGAATTCAGAAAGTAAATGTTTTAATTTTAGCCTGATGCCTGGTAATAATTGTGTATGATAAATTTTTGAAAAATTAGGATAAAAAAGAAAGTTTAATATTTTTAATATCAATTTTTTTCTAAATTGTTTATTAATATTTAAACAATACAGAAAAAAATAATACAAAATTTTAAAAGTTATAAACTGTTGAAGTTTATAAAAAATTCTGGTTTTCTCTTTTCCAATGTACCGATCATAGCAAAGCCTGTAATTATCAAAAATTTCTTTGGGTTTTTTGTTTTAGAGCATTACAAAAGTATCCACATTGTCAACCAGTTCGCACTTTCTTTTTTTCAGTCCCCACTTCACCAGTTTATAACTTTAAAAAAATTTTAATTCTTTTCCTAATTTTTTTCTGTATTCTTTAAACATTAATAAACAATTTGCAACAAAAGTAAATACTAAAAGTGTTAAACTTTCTTTTTTATCCTACTCGGAAAAACAGACCAGAATACTACCTTAAGAGGTATATTATTTTGGTTGCATTGTATAAATAAATTTCTACTTAATAAAATTTCAAAATTTTTGAGAATAAAAATAAAAGATTTTTCATTTTTAAATAATTTCAAATTTTTCAATACTTGCTAAAACTGGGTTGCCACAAATATTTAATTTTGTTTTTCTCTGATTTCTAGAAAGAATTTTGACTTTTTTCCTGATCATAAAGAATATTCTGATTCACTCTAAAAATTATTAGATAGGTACACAAAAAAAATTTCTATTACTTTTATTTACTAATTTTCTTAATTGAAAAATTATTCAAAAATACAAATAACTTCATTTTTAAAGATTTCTTTAAATATTTAAAAATTAAGTAAATATTTATTTATTTAGGGGAGGTCGGGATATTATTGGACACGGGGTATTGTTGGACAGCGCGATATTTTTCCCGTTTGTAACGCTTGCGGTTTCGACCAACTAGCATCGACTCGTCTTATTATAATCTCATTTTTTATTGATCACTTGACTTGTTTTGACGCATTGTTACCTCGCTATCATAGCAAACAGAATTTTAATGTTTGTAAAGTGTTTTTTGCACTTAGTGTTTTGTTTATTTTGACAACATTTTTCGACGAACCAAGTCAAGTAAATATATTTATAATATTCTTTAAACTTTAATCTGTCGACGCATATAAGAGTTTTGTTATCAAATTTGCATTGTGTTACTTATTCGCAGACATTTTGTAAAAATTAGCGTTTGGGGTATTATTGGACACCTTTGTCGGAATGAAACTGACGCGGAGGAAGATATTGATTTTTGCATAATTTGCATGAAAAATATGCCCAAGAAAGAAAATCGCCGAAACACAGCCCATTGTATCGGTTGTGATCGAGATGTTCACTTGAATTGTGCCGGAGCAAACCCGAACACTTTCATGTACCTTAACTGCGATTCTCAATAATTTTCAACTTTTTTCACTTTACTTTATTCATTATAACATATTCTTTTATTTTCATCAACAAATAAACGTTTTCCAGCAGTAATATTAATTTTTTATCGATTTACAAAACTGTCCAATAATACCCCGAGATTTTTTAAAATATCAAAAACCAGTTTTCTGCGCCAACTGATACAGAGTGTACAATTTTAAACAATTAGGTCAAATTTCTGGTACTAAAGGAAAGGTTATTTATCGTATCACAAAAGCAAGCTTTGAAATTTTGAAAAAAATTATTTTTTTAGAGTTTCTGGACAAAATAAAAGTGTGTCCAATAATACTCCGACTTCCACTATTATTATTTTTCTGTAGGAATTAAGATTTAAAAAAAATTTTGAAATTTAAAAACTTAAAAGAATATTATTTTAAATATGAAGAAGTCTTTGACTCGGAGTGATCAATTTATTATTTTTTTTAAGAATTAAAGATAACCTAGGAATAAAATTATTATTTTATATAAGAATATTGTTACTCTAATTTTTTCTAAATTATTTTCATCATTTAAATTCAATTATTATTTTCTAGAATTATTTTAAAGAATGTTTAACTAAAGTTCTTTTTTTAATTAATTATTAGTTAAAAGTACGAAAAATTTCAATTTTCAAAGATTTTAATTTGCTAACATTTTCAAAATTAAATTATTTCTATAAATTTATGCTATAATGCTTTTAATATTAAATTATTATTATCTAAAATTTTAACTAAAATTTGTAGTTGTAAATAAATTTTTAATAGAAAATTTTACGAGAATTCAATTATTTAATTACAAAAATAAATACATAAGTATAACTTTAAGTGTGGACAGAGATCTGGAAATCCGGAATACGAAGATTATTATAGTTAATTAAAATTACAAAATAATATTGTTCTGATGTATCAGAGTTTGTTGGTGGTAATGCGCTATTAGACCCTTCTGTTGATCCACTAGAGTATGCTGTCAGTAAAGAGTTGTCAGAACGGTCAAAACCTGTGGACCAAAATTGTGAAAAGTATTTAGAAATTAAACAATGAAACTGTCTTACTACATTTCTTTAAAAATATATTAATATACAACAGTATTGAATACTAATAAATGTAAATGAATTAAATTCTTTGGAAATGTTTTCTTGTTTTACAAAATAACAAACATAAATAGAGATTTACCTTTTTCGGATAAAATAAATACGTTCTCTATAGTGTTGTTATTCTGAAAATCTGTTAATTTATAATAATAATAATAATAATAATAATAATAATAATAATAATTATCCGTGCCCGGTTGGAACTTTTGTTCTAATTGGAACTTTTGTTCTAATTGGAACTTTTGTTCTACCTGGGGCGCATTAGAACTTGTTCTTTTGCGCGGGGTTGCTGGTCCTCTATCGGACGCGTGCCAGGTGGCGGATAGGTTAGCTTCCTAGAAATAGGTGGTATCGAGGAAATCAAATACTCGACGCGGACCAAAACCAGCAAACAAGAAACATCCATCATGAGCGATTGTAAAATCGAGGAAGAGTACCTGCGGGTTAATGCTACGGCTAAATCCCTCACTGGTTCCGATCGTCAAGCCCATAGCGTGGGGACGGTGGCCAGTGGCCCAAGGATGCAGGAGGGCAACAACGCTTTGGGAGTGTCAGAGATCATCGTGGACAGGGCGGAGAGAGGAGGGAGTACGAGCAGCGTGACGAGTCAAGCGTGAAGCTGCGGGAGGAAGAGGCAGCGAGCATTCTAGAAATGGAGGAGGAGGTCAGCAAGATGCTGAAGTCCTGTGAAGTCCAGAAGAATGTCAATAGGACAATCAAGGATGGACTCAGAAGCTTAACATCGCTCATAAGAGACGTAAAGGAGAAGCACGCAGCAGCTGCGAAAAAGGACGAGAGTTTCTACCAGGGTTTGACCTGGTCTGAAGAAGCTAGACAAGATCGCAGAGCTAGAAGAGATGGTTGTAACGCAATCGTGTTGAGAAACGTCGTCTTAGATGCTCAGAAGCAGAAGAGAAGTGATCCTGAGCCTGCGAAGGATCCAAAAAGGAAAAAGGAGGAGAAACCAAAAAAGACTGGAGGCAAGGGGAACAAAACGGTTCCAAACACTGGTTTACAGTGAAATTGTCAATCGAACAAAACAATTTTTTTTCGAATAGTAGGTGTTTTTGAGTAAGAAAATCATAGTTTTAATTTTATTCCCTCGTGCAGTTTTTCTGTAGCTTCAAATTTTCCATTTTCGAGGTGCGACGCCACTTAAACTTACCTGTAGGAAAATTAGCTTGTCAAAATATAATAAATGAGGTATCATTGAAAAGGTTATTAAATTACCTTTCGATCCATAGGTCACAGAAGAAATTCAACAAATATTAAGAGAGTTACAGTCGATTAAAGATGAAATTTCATGACAATTTTGATGATTTTTAGACATTTAAGTAACTTCTACTATTTTTTTCTACATCAAACAGGAAAGAATGTTTAGGTTTTAATTTTTTTATTGATAGACAATATGATTACAAAAATTTTGAGCCCATGTGGACCTCGATTGGATTAAAAATGACAATTCTACACTAAATTTAGTGAACGAAACTACTTTCTTCATTTCTAGAATCCCATAAACATTTGCAGCAAAAATTGAAGTAATAAAATTTAGTTAAGCTCTAAAGTTACTCTAATCACTAATAAAGGATTTATGAAATCGTAGATTTCGAATCCAATGTTAGTTTTCTGAATTTCTGATCCTTGCACTGGTGGTCAGAGGAGCTAGTCTCCTTGAGGAAGGAATGCCTCAAAGCAAGAAGGACATATACCCGATCTAAGGGAGATCCCTTGCTGAAAGAGGCTTTCAAGGAGGCGAAAAAGAACCTCAAGAAAGAGATCCGCAAGTCGCGACGCCGTAGCTGGAAGGACCTAATCGAGGAAGTCGATAAGGACCCATGGGGTCTGGCTTTTAAAATCGTTACTAAGAAATTAGCGACGAGGCAAAAGACCCCCGGCCTGGACAATCCCGATTGGGTCAGAAAGATAATAAATTCTTTGTTTCCTCCTGCGGAACCATACCTTAGAAGGGACTGGAGTTTTTGCAAAGTAGAAGAGGAAGAACTCTTCACACTTAGTGAACTGCAAAAAGCAGGCAAAAGATTGAAAACAAGCAAGGCGCCTGGAATCGATGGGATAAGTAACGAGATCCTAAAGTTGGTAATCGACACTTCACCCCAGATTCTGCTTCGATGCTTCAATCTTTGCTTTGAGAGAGGAGAGATCTTCCGCGACTGGAAGTGACAGAGGTTAGTCCTCCTAAGGAAAGGTGAAAAACCTCTAGATAAAGTCTCATCATACAGGCCTATATGCCTGCTAGATACGATGGGTAAACTTCTAGAGGATATGGTTCTGCAGAGAATGCAAAGCCACTTGACCGGAGAGAATAGTCTATCGGATCACCAATTTGGTTTCCGTAAAGGCAAGTCCACAGTTGATGCCATCCAGGCAGTTGTGGACATAGCCAAAGCAGGAAAAAACAAGTTGGGACCCGGAAAAAAGAAGAGCTTCTGCGCGTTGGTAGCAATTGACATACGCAACGCGTTTAATTCTGCAAGATGGAAAGATCTCATCGAGTCGATGGAAAAGAAAAACATGCCGCCCTACTTGTTGCGGATAATGGATAATTATCTTAGCGACAGGTGGGTTATATATGAGGGAGACACCTGCACTCTCAAGGAAGAGATGCAGCGTGGGGCTCCTCAAGGCTCGAGGGTGGGTCCATTTGTATGGAATGTTACTTACGATGATTTTCTGCGAATGTATCTACCCGAAGGTGCGGTTGTCATCGGCTTTGCGGACGACGCGTTGTTCGTGTGCACTGCCGAAAGTGAGGAGGCTCTTGGGACATTGGTGAACGAATGTCTGCGACTAGCAAAAAGCTTGCTGGATACCAGAGGTCTTGAAATGGCCCTGAAAAAGACCGAGGCACTGCTGGTCACAGACAGACGTGGTTATGAGCTCCCACGAATCGTGATAGACGGATTCGAGGTCAAGTGGAGTAAGCAAATTAAATATCTTGGTGTGGAGTTGGATGGAAGGTTAAACTTCCACCACCACATGGCTACGGCGTCAAATAAGGCGATCGAGTGTGCGGCTAATCTTTCACGGTTAATGCCAAATGTAGGCGGACCCCGTGAACACAAACGGAGACTGGTGGCAAGTGTCGCCCACGCTAAAATGCTCTATGCAGCACCAGCGTGGGCCCCATCCCTGAGGTGCAAAAGATGTGTGACCATCTGTGAAAAGATACTGTCGGCGCAGAGATCGATAACAACGCGTATCATCTCTGCATATAAGACGGTATCTACGAGTGCTGTGCAGGTCCTTGCAAGTGTCCCGCCAGCAGATCTTTTGGCGAGGGAAAGGGAAGAAATGTTTCTCTTTTCTAAAGAAAGAAGTTCCTTAGATGAGGAAATAAGACCAAGCAAGGGCCTGATCCGCAAAGAAGCGAGGCACAGGCTCATAGAAAGATGGCAAGAAAGATGGGATGGTGAGAAAAAAGGTCGATGGACTTATCGCCTTATCCCGGCACTCGCCACCTGGATAAATAGGAAACACGGTCAGGTTTCCTATTATTTGACTCAGGCGCTCACAGGTCACGGGTGTTTTAACTCGTACCTGTGTCGCTTTAAATTACGCGAGGACAAGGTGTGTGCATATTGCCAGTTCCCTGAGGACAACGCGGAGCACACCCTCTTCTCATGCAGAAAATGGGACTTGGAGAGGCGGGCCATGTTCGAAGGTGTAAACAGTCAAGTTACACCGGAGAACATGGTATCGCTGATGACCCAGTCAGAAGAGAATTGGCGGCAAGTCGAGAACTTCATAATCTCGGTTATGTCGAGGAAGGATCTTGACGGCCGCCAAAAAGCGTAATTTAAACAGCTTTTAATTTTGTACGTTTGTTTTTTATTAATTTATTTTGTGATTTATTTGTCCTTATGCATTTTTTAATTGTTTGTGTTTTTTATTCATCTTTGTACAGTTTTATGTTTTCAATATTTTATACGCGTTTATTTTTTCTTATTCTTTTTATATAGCCGTTTGTAATTTTATCTTTTGACTTCTTACACTTTTTAGAATTTGCTTTTTTATTGTTGTGCTGTTAATTCCGCTTTTATATTGAAATAGTTTTGAATTTTTAACTATTAACGCAGGATGACCGCAGAGATAAACAGAAAGTCGCATTAGCGACAGAGTTGGAGCGCCACTCTCGAAGGCTAAAGTCTTACGACAGTTCCGAGGGAGGGTAAAGGGCTCCAGAAGAAGGGTTACGGGTTTTAGTGGGTCGGGCTGGTAGTAGGTCGCCAGTTAATTAAATTTACTATAATATATATATTTATTTTTTTTTTATTTCCTTTTGTTTTATCATACCAACCCCACATAACCTTGAAGTGCGGAATCCAAGGTATCTGTAGGCAGATTTCCCAAAAGTCCCTAAGCAAAAAAAAAATAATAATAATAATAATACCAACCCCACATAACCTTGGAGTGCGGAATCCAAGGTATCTGTAGGCAGATTTCCCAAAAGTCCCTAAGCAAAAAAAAAAAAAAATAATAATAATAATAATAATAATAATGAGGGTAAACTCTGTAAAAGCAAGTGACATTTTTGTCCAACCTGCTGTTTGAAAGATAATGTCCACACTTACTCCTTGTCGTTTAGCTGCCGAACTAGATGCATGTCGTGTGCTATAGGATTTAAAGAAAGAGGTATCAATTCCACTTTCTGTTAATATGCACTTGATCCATCGTGAGAGTGTTGGAGTCGAAGCTGCTTTTTTGGGATTTTTAAAAGTAATGAAAAGTTCCTCAACATTTCCTCTAATTGGTTCAGTTCGTTTAATATATTCTGATAATGTCGAAGCGACACACAATTCTCGTTCCTCTCGAAAAAATGGCAGTTTTAAGCCCGGCTGCGATTTATTGACTCCTGAGGATTTTATTCTACCTGGAATTTTGATCTGGATTATTTTGTCTGAAAGTATAATATTCTGTATTGAAATTGTGAGAGAGTCTGCACCCTTTGTGAATTAGTTAATGCTAATAAGACTATGAGCTTGTAGGACAAAAGTTTCAAAGATAATTTTGAATTTTCATCTAATGTTTTTATATAGGTGACAACTATTTGAGGGTCCCATGTGATATCGTAGCGAAGTGCTTGCGGCTTTTCGATCGAAATACCTTTGAAAAATCTCTTCATTGATGGATCAGAGCCAACTTCTGACATTCTTATTAAAGAAATTGCTGATCGGTACGAGTTTAAGGTGCCATAAGTGTTAATGTTGTCTAAAATTTCAGTTAAAAACATTATAATTTCCGTAGCTTTGGCATCGAATATTTGAATCTTCTTTCTTAAACAAAAGTCCCACCATAGTCGAAGTGGTTTTTCGTACTGGTTAAGTGTTCCAACTGATAACGATTTTATCATTAATGGAATCGCGCTTTCCGGAACCCTTCTTCTTCGAACTGCTTCCCCAATAACTTCTGTGCCACCAGGGTAAGGCTCTCTGCTAGGGGATGGATCTTCCTGAAAGGAGAAATAAGTAAGTCTTTTTTAAGAGAAAGGTAATATGGTTCCTCTATCAAAAGTTCTGAAAATAAAGGGTACCAGGCCTGAGTAGGCTTTATCGTTTATGATTTGGTTTAGTACTTTTATATTAATAGAAAAGGTAGGAAACGCATAAAAGTAATGTTTTGTCCACAAAATTGTAAAGGCGTCAATAGCCTAGAAATTCGGATCTTTAAACCAAGAAACGAATCTACCGCATTTATTATTAACGCTGGTCGCGAAAAGGTCAATGTCAAAATATTTATTGTTCAACTCCTATTCAGTCTCAGGTGGTAGAATCCGCAATGAAATAGATGCGAATATCCACAAATTTTTATTTTCGCACCATTGCCAGATTTCTTTGGCGATTTCAGATAAATTTGGGAATTGTACACCGCCCATGCAATTGATATAAGAAATCGCTGTTGTGTTGTCAATTCGTAAAAGAACTTGGAAAGACTGATAATTTGAAGCGAAACACTTTAAAGCATTAAAGGCTGCTCGCAATTCTAACATATTTATATTTTCGTTTGGCTCGTTTAAATTCCACCAGCTATGAGTCTAATGACGCCATAAAACAGTTTGGAGTTAATATTCTAATGACTGTTTTATGATCCTCCAATTTGAAATGCGGTGCTTCTATAAACTCATTCAACTTTTTTAAATTTAAAATAAACCTTTTTTCGCCGTTAGGTTTGTCAACTAAGAAATAAGATGATAAAAATTGTTTCTTACACGGTTGACATTTTCTAATACTTCCCTTTTTAACGAGCTTATCTATAGCTAGAGAATATTCTCGAATTTCTAACTCGGTCATTAAAGGAATACTCGGCTTGCAGTTTTGGAATACTTCTCTTGAAAAAGGTATTTTATAACCTCTTACATATTGGAGAATAATTGAATATTGAGTCAATTTTACCCATAAACTATCAAAAGACTTGATACGCCTTGATGTTTTGCTTACCTCTAATACTGACGACGAAATGGGCGATTCATTTTCTTCGGCCCATCCAGGTTGTCCCTGTTCCGGCTCTTGTAGCCGTCTCTGTTCGAGCCTCTCCAGTTCGTCGAAGTCCTTTTGTAGTTTGAAATATGTGTCTTCTTTGTCTGACTTCCTTGGTTAGATCTTTTAAATTTGACACCAGATGTTGATGGTCTCATTAGATTTTTACTGGATTTCTCGACCGTTTTTGCTGCCTTCATTCTTAAAGACAAATCTTCTTCGAACAGGAATTTACTAATTGGCGAGCCATCACTAATTTATTTGACAGTTTGATTAACCTTTGGTAAAATAAATGCTCTTATCATTATTGACACATTATAATGCACGTCACCAAGAATTCAATCTACATCGCTCAAATACTGAGTAATTTTTGGGTCAACCATTTTGTAGAATATCCGTCCATTTTGTCAGCAGAACGTTATTCACTTTAACATGTGTTACGTATGACTTCGTAACATTTATATTTACATAGAAACAACGAATTTTAATTGAATTATATAGAATCCATTTAATAATTTTGACTTGTAACCTAAAAACACAATTATCGTTCTTACACAAAAATACATATTTATTAGCAACACCAATAAATTCCAACATTAAGCAAAATTCTTAACAACCCACTTTTAATCGGGTAATTAGCACAAATAAATTAAGCAAAGTACATTTTTCTTTTTGTGTTAATATCGCAAGGCAGGGTTTCTTTCAATTATTTGTAAATTATTGCACAACAACGAAGTGGTCAGAATCTAAATTTCGCAAGTACCAAATTCTGCAAGCTGTCAGAATAAACTGCATTGAGGATTTCCCCACCTAATTGTCAATCAATAAAAAGAATTGACAAGGAGAAATCTGGGCAGTTGCTCGCGTAAACTTGGCGAAACTAAGTTGGGCAGTTTAATTCAGGCAAAGTACCTGAACGTGATATATATATTGTGAGTCATAAAGACTAAAGAATTTTTATCCTTTTGTGAATTAAAGGGCGTAGTCCCCATTTATTGTAAAACAGAAATATTGAATTGAGATTAAGTCCACTTTAAAGAAAATCAAGTTTGAGGCTAAATACAAGTAAGAGAAAAGGAAGATTGCTGCGATATAAATACAAATAAAAGAAGCAAACATAACGATTAAAAGTGAGTAAATAATTTCACATTACACTCATATACACAAATCAATTTTCAAAGAAATACGTAAATTTTCATAAGTTGATTTCATGAGATTTTACTAAAAAGAATATTCACATTCTTTTTTTATTATAATTTATATTTTAATCCCAGAACATTTATATATTGGAAAATTAAAGGTTTATAAAATATATGTAAATCTGATAATTAAATAAATATTAATTTAACCAATAATTTCTATTCTTATTAATTGTAACTACACAATTAATATCAATAATTGTGAGAGTGGAAAAGTCCCCTACCTATTCAAATTTATTTAATTTGCTGAAGAGCATTTTTCGTTATCACGACAGATTTAAATTGATAATAAAATAATTTATCTATTTTACTTTTATTAAATTAAATCCTATTCGTAACAACTGGTGGCAGCGGTGGGATTTTTCCCTCTAAATTATAAGGGTAGAATTTTGGAAATTTATATTTAAAAAAAAAAAAAAATTTAAAAAAAATTTTTTTTTTTTAACACATTACACATATTTACACACTGATACTATCATTGACTATATATGTTTGTACATGAAATTTTAATTGTTTTTTTATTTTACAGTGAATATAAAATAGATATTGTGCGGGTAGTAGATTTTTTTCTAGTTCGTTAAAATCGAACTGTAGGGAAAGAGTAACCATCCTTGCATCGGCAAGCTCTGGTTTCTATAATAAACGTGCCCAATTCCCTGAATTAACCTTGCCGGAAGTGTGTAGCCACTTGGGCAAGTGAAGGGACTAAAATTATCGAAAATATTCACGGTTTAAATAAAATTTTTAAACATTTTTCCTACGGTTAAATAATCATTTTAAATCAACGTATAATTGTTATAACATTCATGTTGTAGTTTATAGTTTTCTTTTCTCAATGAATAGTTCAGATAGTAAAAAAAAACAATAGGCAAGAAGGAATAAAATTCGCAAGAGCAGTCCGAAGTAAATACATTTTAGAACAAGTAAATTTAGTTAAACGCGTACTATTCGTGGAAAACAAATCGAAATATAGTAACGACAATAAAAATAATTCTCTCGAAAAAATTGTAGAGAATCTAGACAGTTTAAAACTGCGAGAATAGACGTTTATATTAAAGTACAGAAATAAATGAATATTTGCAATTAAGCAAAACTGAGATTTATGCGAAAAATAAATAAACTAGTTGCTGTTTGAGAAAAATAAAAAGTATATTGTTCGTTTAAATTTGTAATTGCATTTTTATATAAGAAAGAAGAAAAGAAATTTTAGTGAAGTGAATTTTATAATTATAAAATTTTGTTCGTTAAAATAATATTAATTGAGTTAAAAGATTTAGATTAGTAATGCAAAATTGAAGTAAGTTACAGAAATACGAAACGGGATCAGGTTACCGCACAAGGCCGTGCGTACGCGAGTAGTAGGTCTCAATGAAATTTCGCAAGTCTGAATATTGTAGGTAGTATTTCTTTTCTTTCATTTAAAGAGAAATATCAATCTGTTTATTTTTTTTCAAGAGTTACTGTTTTGTAATAATTATATGTCTGAAAACGAATTTAAGTATTTTCTGAGTCAACAAAATAAGAGAATAAGAAGAGCAAGTTTAAAAAAAACAATAGTAATTTCTTGTTAGAATAGACTATCACACTGAGAAACAATATTTAAAGTAAAATTTTCTTTCAAAATCCTTTTTGTTCCTCATGACATATTATTTTTAAAAAAAAATTTTTTTAAAAATATTTTCCTTTTATTTTCTGTTTAAAATAAAAACAGAAAAAGGTTTAATCTTAAATATTTATTTTATTTCATTTGAATTTCCTTCCCAAAATTACGGAAGTGTAATTCAATATATTTTTAATTTATTAAAAGTTTATTGTAACATTCATACGCTCAAACTTTTAAGTACGCTTAGAATTTATTTCTTCAAGCGAAAATAAATGTATTTAGAGCATTGAATATTCTGTAATTTTGTATTTTAATGAATCTGTTCAATATTATTTAATTATAAAATTTTAATTAATATTGAATTAAGTCATACATCTCACAACGGACCACAGTCTCCCCGTTCCGTTGTTAGAAGAGTTTGATGTTCATTATACCAAATTTGGTTTATCTACCTCCACAAAATTTACTGAAGTGCGATTCAATATATTTTTAATTTATTAAAAATTTATTGTACCATTCATACGCTCAAACTTTTAAGTACGCTTAGAATTTATTTCTTCAAGCGAAAATAAAAGTTTTTAGAGCATTGAATATTCGGTAATTTTGTTCTTAAATGAATCAATTCAATATTATTCAAATATAAATTTTAATTAATATTGAATTAAGTCATACATCTCACAACGGACCACAGTCTCCCCGTTCCGTTGTTAGTAGAGTTTGACATTCGTTATACCTATGCCTAAACAAGAAACATTTATTTTAAATACAAAACAAATTTGTAAAAGCAAAAGAGGAAAAAAAGGAATGAAAAAGATTTGTCTTAATAATAGATATTGCATATTTTGAAACTAAAATAATTAAAAACGAAGTACAGATGCGTTAAAAAAATGAATTATTTGCTATTCATCTATTATGTTTAAATTATATAGAATGAACAATGTCATTGTACTCAAAATTGTTACTTAGTGGTGACATAGAAAGATGGAAATCGGAAGGATGCAATTTTAAAATAGGCGATCGTAAAAATGTTTACAAAAATGAAGAGTATGAAAAGCAACATCATGACAACCATAACCAGGGACAAGAGGAACATAGAAAGAAAGATAATTGTTATGATCAATATTTTGATGATATTAAAGAGGAGGCTGATTATGAAAATCAATATTATCGCCAAAATAAAAACAAACAATTTAATGAGTATGAACAAGTTACACTCAATAGTTACAAACAACAATGGAACCACCATCGGCAAAAAAGGAATCAACGACAGGATCAAAGATTTAATAGCAGAACCTATAGTAATAACGGTATCAACAACCAAAATAGAAACATGAATTTCAAAAAAAATTATCAAAGTATGAACATGACATCACAGGGGTACGAAAAAGGAAATTTCTATAACAGCGATAGGAATTTTGAAGAGTATAACATCGATTCAAGAAATTTACAATATAGATTTGCTGAACAAGAACAAGAATTCAATTTCAAAAATGAATACAGAAGATACAACGATATACAAGATGATTTCAGAATAGAGCGGCAGAAGGATTACGGATATACTAATTACAAAGAATCGTATATGAACTATGAGGAACCATTTTTTAAAAATGATTATTTCGAAGTAAAGGAATTTGTAGACAATAGACCTGAATTTAAAAGAATACATGATTATGATTTCGTAACACCACCAATTCGTTTTAAAGATTCGTTCACAAACCAACACTCTTTAGAGGATGAAAAACAATCTGATTATAATGTCTCACCCTCTGTAAATGAACAACAATTTGAAACAGAAAGCGAAAAATCAAGAGAAAAAGAAGAACATATTACTATTAGTAACTTCAATAATACAAAAATTCTGAAAGAAGAAAGAACTCAAGAGCAATTAAGCAGCAAAAATGAAAAAGGAAGAAAATTAGAAGAATTTAGGGATGCAACAATAAGTAAAAATGCCAAGCATCCAATAGAAATGTCACATAAAGACGAAAATCCTGCAAGGAATATGACAATTTCTTCTGTCACGAGTGTAAATCAAGAGATATTAGAAGAGGTCCAAACTTTAAACAAAAAATCCAACAACTTTGTATCAATAATTCAAGATTATTCTGAGGAAAAACAGCTACTAATAATATATGAAGACAATGAGACAGAGAATGTACCAGATGAATTTACAATTGAACTGAAAACTGATAAACTGGACACGGAAAGTAATGGAAAGATGACGCTAATAAACAGTGCCACTCAGCAAAATTTGCGTATACCAGGGTCAATGTCATTCAATT